TATATATATATATATATATATATATATATATATATATGATAGATAGATAGATGATATAGACAGATAATAGAAGATATAGAAAGATAGATGATAGATATATATAGATGATAGATAGATAGATAGATAGATAGATAGATAGATGATAGAAGATGGATAGATGATATAGACAGATAATAGAAGATAGAGATAATAGATAGAAGATAGAGGTATCTAGAATTACACATTCCTTTAAACAGAATGAAAGACTTTGTTCCTCTAGTTATTCGCTCTTTGCTGGGTGATTTCGGAGATATGGGTCCCTAAAAACGAACAGGGTTCTAGACAATGCGAGAAAGAGAAGAAGGCAAAAGGTGGAAAAAACGAGAAAGAAAAAAAGAATGATGATAAAAAGAATGAAAAAATAAAAAAGGTTGCGAAGGAAAAAAAATGAAAAAAAAACAAACAAAAGAACGGGACGTATTAAACTGCGTTATCACAAGACACGAAACAGTCGGCCTGGCTAGTTTGTGGTGGTCTGCGAATAAAGAACCAAAATCCAAATCGGGCAACAACGTGTTGGTCCCGCGGATTGTTCCGACTTGCTTAGGATGGTTCGTTCAGGATTCGGAAAAAATCTGCGAATCCAGATAAATGGTTTGATTGGGTAAACTGGGGGGGGGGGGCTTGTCTTCCGAAGTCAGCCAATGATATTTGAGAAAGACAGCGCCCGCCTCTGCTTCTAATGTATAGAAACCTGCGTGCGAACTTAAGGCGCGATTAAAAGGGTCGCTTTAATAGCGACTCATTTTATATTGTCCTCACTTCCTATCCTTTCAAGGCAGTGGTTAAAAGCCCCATAAATTACAAGTCCTCCCTGTAGGTTTCATGCAGTCTAATATCTTAAAAGATTCTCCTCCCTTAAAAAGAGACGGTTCTTCTGTCTAGGTTGGGTGTCTTCATTTGCCACTTTGCATGGATAGCTCAAATGGGAGATTCCATGCCCAGTGGCAGTCTACCTTGAATCTACAGGATGCTATGTGCAGTCATGCTAAAAAAGCAAAGTATTAGAGTAGATCTGGAAGACACACTAATCTCTGTGTGTTTTCTATTTTGTTCAGTTTCTGGATTAAAAGTGGCAAAAATAAACTGCCTTAGAAAAGTGGGGGGGGGGGCTTGGTTCGCTGATCAGCTGAGCAAAGAACTGAAGCCCATTTAAAAAAATTTTTTTAAAAAAAACTGGTGTATATACATCATGTTTGCCTTTAGCAAACCCATTTTTAAACTACTTCCTCCTGCAGCCCCAGAACTTTTAAACAACAAAACGTTAAGCTAGATATATTTTTTTTGCTTCCCTTTTTTTGAGGCATGCCAATGGCATTTGGGCATTATGATTGAATCCATCAATCAAATATAGCCTTCCTTCCCGATAATTATGTGTGGGATCAGGATAGAGATGAACACAGGAAACAATTCAGCAGTCTTCCAAGGTTCAAAATCTGTAGCGAGTCTCAGGCTGAATAAATCCTTATTTAATAAACTTCTATAACAAGCCATTTCAGATGTTGTAATTTTGGGAAAAGATTGAAGATGCTTTTTTCTTTTTTAACAAGCGCTTTTGCTTTTTCATGAGGCTGCAATTCCCAGAGTTCTTTGAAATAATGAACTTTGGGGAGTTTATTGTTAAAATTCCTGCTTTAGACATGCCCCAGAGGGCTTTTCGCTGTGTTTGTGTTGTTGTTTTATTATTAGCAAGCAGTTCCTTGAATCCCAATATTCC